TCCCCAGCACATTCCTCGGGGACCTCGGCTGGCACAGCCCCCCAGACACACGTCTCCTCCACACCCCAGGGCTGGCCTGGCTGCAGCCTCCTCCCAGTCCCACAGGAGATGAGCCAGACTCCCCGGGAGACACCGTGGCTGCCATGAGGAGGGCAGGGGTGTTGGCAGTGCCAGGCTGCCCAGCCATGGGGGCCGTGGGCACCGGGATGCGTTTCCCGGGGGGAACACCCACAGCCCCGCCGGGGGTACCCGCGTGGGGTGGGGGAGCAAAGGGGGTTTTGGGGCGGGGTGGGGTGTTGAACTTTTGAACCCACAGGCAGGAGATCAGTGCATTACCTTAACGCGAGTTAAAAATAACCGTCTCGTCTCCCGAAATGAGCCTGTCTGCAATTACAGCTTGGCATGTCTGCTCCGGAGCGTCCCCGGGCTGGCACCGCGCCAGGCGGCGGCGGCTGCGAACAACCCTCGCCTTTCTTCTCCTCTGTGGTGGTGTTGCCTTTTTTTTATCTCTTCGTTTGTTTTTTGTGGGGTTTTTTGTTGGTTTTTTTTTTTTTTTGCAGGGGTTTTGGGGTTGGTGTTTTTTTTGTTTTGTCCCCCTTCCCAAGTAAATCCAAGGTTGGCTGCTCAGCACCCCCGGCTTGGGCTCCCCACCCCATCCACCCACCCAGCCACGGGCACGTCTTCAAAAGCACCCACTGCCCACAGCATGATCATGTTGTGTCCCCAAGGTCATGTTGTGTCCCCGAGGACAGGGGGACACTGCCACCAGCCCACACTCCCAAGAGTGGGTGCAGTGCTCGGTACGAGGTGTGTCCGAGGGTCCTTCCCACGCTGCCCTTGCACCCCGATGCAGATCCGAGCGCAGGGCGTGGGCTGAGCGTGTGTGGGGAGCCTGGCACAGCCCGGACACATGCACAGGAGGGTGAGGGAACACGTGCCAATGGAGAAGTGTGGGCACAGGCAGTGGGTGCCCAGCAGCATCGCTGTGGGCAGGCACAGGCAGGGGTCTGCCTGCACCAGGGGAGCCGGGGGAGAGCCACCCCACTGCCAGCATCCAGGGCTGTCTGGGCAACCTCCTTGGCCCCATGGCCCCAGGGGAGCAGCAAGCTGGGCTGCACCGCTGCCCATCCTGGCATCCCTGGCTGGGTGCATACAAAGTGCCACCAACCCCAGCAGCAAAGCCCAAGAGCCTCCCTGCTGTCAAGCCCTGACTGGCATGGAGAGATGCACAGGGTGGCACGGGAGTGGTGGGGAGGGGAAGGATGAGTCCCTTGCTGACAAAGTAAGCACCAGGACGCAGAACCCACTATCACCCCATCCTGCTGCAAACCCCTGGGGCAGCCCCCTGCTGCTGTCCCCCCCCAGCCCACAGGACAGCAGCAGTTCTGGGGAATGGACACCTGCTAGTGGAAGGTGTCCCTGCCCATGGCAGGGGGTTGCAACAAGACAATCTTCAAGGTCCCTTCCAACCCCAGCCGGTCTGTGACTCTGTGATTCTCCAGCACCCCACAGCCACACAGACCCATAGCAGGCAGCAGCTCAGGATGCCCCAGGACGCTGGAGTAGCCCTGCTGGGAGGGAAGGGACCAGCCTGCTTTGGGGGTCCCCGTGTCCCCCCCAGCGTCGGGTGCCTCCTCCTCCTCCCCGCGGCGGGTGAAAGCGAGCTTTGTGCCGGGGCTTTCAATTCTCCTGGGCTGGCACCCGGCCAAGGCACCACATAATAATGAACAGATGCTGTCCAAAATGAGCCTGAGCGGCAGACAGGCGAGCCTCCCGTGTCCTTCCATAACCCAAAGTGCCTTTCACCTCGGCTCTAATCAGGCACCTTCGGTGGGAGCCGACAGGAAGTGTCAGGCTAATTAAAAGTAATGGGAGCGAGGAGCAGGGACCCCACTGGGGGGTCAGGGGCAGGCAGCTGCCTCCCCGCAGGCAGGGCTGGGGTGCAGGGGGGTGGCAGGGCAAGGGGAGATCCAGACCCAGCTCCAGAGCATCCCCATGGAACATCCAAGGGCATGGATGTGGGGCTTGGGATGAACCCCAGGCAGCCTGGGGATGGAGGTCCAACCGTGCCCAGAACACGTTGGTGCACTGGGAAAGGGAGATTCATCCCCTTCCTGTGGAGTCCCCGTGTGAGGACACAGGGCTGACTGGTGTCCAACCACATTCCCTACGCCCAGGGGACCTCCCACTGCCAGCAGCATCCCAGTGAGGGTCCCACTGGGATGGGAAGCCTGGCCAAGGAGCTCGAGCTCACTCCCACAACACGTCTGGCCTGACTGGGAGAACAGCCTCCCTAGAAAAAATATTTACAAGGCTTTTTAATTATAAAATTCATTTTCTAGGCCAGGATGCTGGTCCTCTCATCCCAGCACCGGGAAGCAGAGGGAGGGATGCACACAGGGATCCACGGGGGATGGATGGAGAGAATGCTGGGCTGCGAGTGCTCTTCTAGTCCACGGGATCTTAACTGTAGTTTATATTCCAGTGGTTATTAAAAATAAAGGGGGAGAGTAGGGGGGAAGCTAAGAGCAGAGCAAGCTGTTCATTTGGAGCCTTTCCCTGGGGTTTAATAAAGCCCCACTCGCTGCTGTAGTATCATTTTTTTGCTATCATAAAGCTGGACCATTTAGCAGGTTTGTGTTACTTCAGCAGTTAGCGCTGCATGAGAAGCGATTCCAGAAGAGGGGAGAGAGGGGAAAAAAATATTAGAAGATGAAAACCTCCAAAAGGAGAGAGAAAAATGAGGTGGGAAGGAGGAAAGGGGATTCCTCCCGGCCACGCCGCCGGCAGTGCTGCAGCGCATCAGGGCAGCTCAGGGGGATGCCAGTGGACTCCCCCATCCCTGTGAGAAGCCAGGGACAGGCAGGAGACACCCGCTCCAGGCCTGGGGTGCTGAAGGGTCGGGGACCCCAGCCCAGCATCCGGGGGGACCCTGCCTGTGCTGTAGGAAAGGGTCAGAGGGGTCCCCTCACATGAGGGGATCCCAGGGGTGTTGCACCTGTGGGGACCAGAGAGCCAGGGCGGCTTATCCAGGAGCTGTTGGGAATGATGGGGGTCCCTGAGGTGAAGGAGCTGCAGCTCCTCCCGGCCCCGGGTGGTCCCCAGGATGATCGGACGCTCCCAGCCCCTCTGCTCCCGGCCCTGGGCAGCTCTCCGGGGAGCATCAGGCTCTCCGTGCTGCTGGAAAAATCTCCATATATGGAGAGGATGGGATACGTGACTGAGCTGAGCTGAGCCAAACCACCCCAACGGGAGCCCCCACCGGGCAGCCCCCACTCAGCCGAGGTCCCGGGGCCGTGCCCCCACAGAGCCCCCTGAGCCGGGGGGCACCCCCAGGGCTAATCCCAGCACAAACAGGAGCTGTGCACCCCAGAGACCGGTCACCCCATCCCCCCCGTGAGGCCCCTCTTCATCCCTGTGCCACCCCCATGGCAGCACCCCCGCCCTCACTGGCACCCTGACTGCCTTCCATGAGGGGAAGGTCATCCCCATCGGTCCAGGTGCTGGGTTGGAGCCTCTCCAGCTGCACTGGGCAAGGCTCCAGAGGCACTGTCCCCATCCAAGAGGGCAAGGGCCGGGGCTGGGGCAGGGGGTGGCACCAGTGACAGAGCCACAGAGCCAGGAGCTGCTCCCCTGAAGGATGCCCTTGGGGTGCCCAGCCAGGCTCTGCCCCTGTGGCCACAGCTCAGGGGTCCCCACGTGCAGCAGGGAGGGAAAGTACCCTGGTCCCCAAACCCCCCAAATCCTTGAGCAGCAATGGGCACTTGGGCCACACTCTCACCCAAATACAATTTCCACACCTTTTTCTCCCTAATTCATTTCCATCATGCCCTGCAAGAGGACGGTGGCACTCGGTGGGGGGTGTCTCTGCATGGCAGCCCCCAGCCCTGAGCACACAGCACTCCCGTGGGCCCCCAGCCCCTGGCAGCCCCTGGCAGCCCCTGGCAGCCCCTGGCAGCCCCGGCCCCCCGTGCTGCCGCTCAGCCGACCCAGCAAGAGAAAGGAGGAGGAGGAGGAGGGAGGGCTAGGAAATTAGGGTTTTCAGTGCTGTCAGAGCCGCATCAAACAGGCATCCACCAGCTGATGGCTTGATTGTTATATTTTGGATGTCAAACCGGAGCAAGCAGAACCCTTTAAAATGCATCAGTGCCGCTGCCTTTCTGACGGAGGGTGTTGGTTTCCCATTAACGAGAGGGAAGCGTGAGCTGGAGCAGAAAACTTCAAGCGCTTTGGAATTGATAAAATAACAACTCCCTAATTAAGCAGAACTGTCAGTCAGCAGGCACCCGCTGCCCTGCATCGGGAAGCAGCAGCAGCAGCTCCCGGTGCACGAGCCTGACACGCCAGCTCAGCCCCTGCAGCACGGGGGGCAGGGGGGATGCACATCCCGGGGGGCAGCAGCCAGAGCCCCCCCCCACGCTCCCCATCACACCCAGCTGGGTCCTGGTCCCGACACTGGGCACAGCCGAGGGGTTTGGGTGCTGTGCTTGTTTCATGAGTTCACCATGAGTGATGTGGCTGCCCCATCCCTAGAAGTGTCAGATGGGGCTTGGAGCAACCTGGGATAGTGGAAGGTGTCCCTGCTTGCTCGTGGCAGGGGGTGGAACAAGATGGTCTTTAGGATCCCTTCCAACCCAAACCATTCCATGAGTCTCTGACTATGAAACCATGTCATGCAAAGCACAGCCTGGCAGAGGAGAGGCCTGACCCCAAAACACACCCCGTGCCAGCATGCTGCCCATCTGAGAGACAACAGCCAGCCTGGGGCACACACTCCTGAGGGACACATGGGACACCGTGGCCAGGTGTGGGTTCAGCATCCCCACCACCAGCTGGATGCAGGAAGGGGTATGGCTGTGAAGGTCCTCCCAGTGCCAGAGCAGGGCAGAAAGGTTTTGGAGAAGTCAAGAGTAGGGTTTGAAGTGTCCAAGGCTAGGTTGGATGGGGCTCTGGGCAGCCTGAGCTAGTGGAAGGCGTCCCTGCCTGTGGCAGGGGGGTGGAACAGGATGAGCTTTGAGGCCCCTTCCAACCCAAACCATTCCATGATTCTACAAAGTCCTGCCAGAGCAGCAGCCCTCGGCCAGGCCCCCAGACCCCCACCATCCCGCTCCCTCCAGCACGAGGAGGCTGAAAGGGGCTCATTACAGAAGCAGCCGAGACCTCGCTGTGACTCTGCCGTGTGGGGAGATGAACTGCTGTGGCCCTGCCACGCTTCTCCCTGGCCTGGGGCCGGAGGGACACGGCATCTACAGGGCTTGAAACAGCCACCAGTGCCCACTACCCCAAAACCAACTGCCCAGCGCTCTGGGTGCTCCCTTGGCACCCAGGGGAGGGGACACCGAGGGGGGGCAGGGGACAGCCAGGAGTGATATGGAACTGTGGGGAAGGTGTTTAACCCCCGACATGCTGGTGTCTGATGAAACCACTGCACAAAGGGGGCCTCTGCTTCTCGCTCCGGGCTGTTGTCAGCCCTCACACCACCATCCCCAGCTGAGGACTGAGCACCTGCAGCACCAGGAGAGGCTCCAGGGCACCCCGCTCTGCCCTGGGCACCCCGCTCGGGCCAGCCCAGAGTGCAGGCAGGTCAGGCAGGACTCTTCGCTCAGCCCAGCTGGGGGGTTCAAATCCCAGTGCCATTGTGAGGGCAAGGGAGGCTTCCATGGGGGAACCAGCCCACAGCAGTGCAGTCCTGGCAGCAGAGCCACCTGCCCACAGCCCAGGCAGAGCCCTGGCACATGCTCCAACCTGGAGATGGGCCAGGAAAGGAGAGAGCATCCCATCACAGGGTGCACACAGGTGAGCCCATCTGAGCAAGCAGCCCCTGTATGTGCCCCTGGATTTGCAGCTGGACCCTGAGCCTGCCCTCCCCTTGCATATCATGCACCACGAAGCCCCCACTGACACATGTGGCTGCCTGGGAATCCCTTTGCTCCTCATCCCAGCCCTCCCAGGCCCCAGTCCAGAGCCTTCACACACCTCCCCGACACAACTCCAAGACCCCATGAGTGCATGTCCCCTGCTGTCCCCACCAGGTGTGAGTCTTGGGGAGACCCTTCTCTGCCAGCATGTGCCCAGGGCTGTGCAGGTCTTGCCCCAGGTGGAGGTTTGAGAGGCACCACACAACCACCACCTCCTGCCACCTCCACAGCCCCGACACCCTTCCCTGGCCAATCTCCACACCAGAGGGACACCGGCTCTGCCCTCTGCCCACCCATCACGAGTGGGTGCCCAGCCTCCACATAACACCAGCCCACACAGCCTGGATATAGGTGCCACAGATTCCAGCCTTCCTGCCCCAAAAGAGCCCCATTTTCACCCAAGAAGGACCCCCTGAGGTGGGCCGGGTCCAGAGCCAGGACTCGCGTGCCAGGGCCGCAGGCTGGTGTAAGAGCCCCCGGAGCCTCGTCACACACTAATCACACTGGAGGTGACAGGGCTTAGGGGAGGACTTAAGAGAAACCGACTCCTTTTTACTGACACCATCTGGACACAGCCGATCTCTTCCCCCTTCCCAGCGCAGCACCAGCCGGAGGGGCAGGGGCCAGGGTGACCCCCAGACCCAGCGCTCCCCGTGCCCTTGCCGGTGCCAGGGATCCCCAGCTCCCACCAAGCAAGACGGGAATACTGTCCCTGCCAGGGAATCCTAACGAGCCCACAGTGCCAGCCGGGATCGGAGCCGGGGAATGCCAGCTTGGAGCTGAGGGGACCGTGTGCTGCCTGCACGCCCCCCCCCCGGGAGGGGGACGCAGCCCCGGGGAAGGCGGGGGCTGAGACGGGAGGACGCACTGGGTACAAGCCAGCCCGGAGACACCTGTTCGGGGACAGCCCTCCCTCCGGCTGTGCTCCCGGGCACGCCACTGGCACGCGGGGACCTGGCACGGCAGGGACAGGAGAGCCGTGACGTGGGGTTGTCATTCACCGCACCCCGGTGCTTGGACACCTGGGAGAGCCGGCCACGACCCCGCTGCCCGTCGCCATCCCCGACCCCCGGGAGGACGGTGGCCACGACTCCGCTGCCCGTCGCCATCCCCGACCCCCCGGAGGACGGTGGCACCGCTCCGGCGCTCAGCTCGAGCCTGGCGGGTGACACGGGGACAAGCTCACCCCGGTTCTAACACGCAACACCACGAGGCACCGGCTCTCCCCAAAACTTGTCCGAGCCCTTATCTCCCTAACCGTGAGGACAGCGGTGATCCCCCAGATCGCCCAACCAGAGCCAAGCTCCGGCTGCCCCAGGAGAAGCCTCCAAGCTCTGGCACACCTTCGGGAGAGGGGCAAAGTTGCGCTGGGGTTGGGGTCAGGGGGTGAGGTACCTTCCAGCCGGCGGAGCTGTTGCTGTCTCCTTTATCCTTAAAGTAGGGAACGTATCGCACCATCCAGTCGTAGATTTGCGAGAGGGTGAGGCGCTTCTCCGGCGAGCTCTCGATGGCTTTGGTGATGAGGTCGGCGTAGGAAAGGTTGCCCCAGGCGTTGCGCCGGGAGGTCTTGGCCTTGCGGAGCTGCCCCACATCCGCGCCGGGGGGCGGCGGGGGCGCGGCGGCGACTCTGCGCTCCACCGGGGCCGCCGCGTTCTCGGCTCCGTCCCCGCCGGCCGCCAGCGCCGGGGGTCCCCCCGCGCCCCCATCCTCCTCCTCCGCCGCCAAGTCGGGGTGGGGGAGAGGCCAAGTGCAAGAGCGGGGCCGGCTCTGCGGCTCGAAATCCGGGTCGATCTCCACCTGATGCGCCTGGAGCTTTTCTTCCATGGTCCCCTCCCCGCCGTCCCCCTAGAGCCCCCCCCCGGAGTTACGGGCGGTTTCCACTCAAAAAAAAAAATAAACACACAACAAAAAACCCAAAATCTCGAGAGGGAGAGGAGTGCGAAGGCGGGCTCCTTGCCCGGCTGGAGGGGAGAGGGGAAGGAGGAGCCGCTCGGGTCCTGGCGGGGGGAGCCCCGAGTCCGGCGGCTCTAGGAGGCGGCTCTGCCGGGAGCGCCGAGCCGGGGGACGCGCTGCATGGTCCTCGGCCACCTCTCCAGCCCCGGCCGAAGCGGGGGTGTGTTTTTTTGGTTCGGATTTGGTTTTGGTTCGGTTTTTACCAGCCGCGGAGCTCCGGAGCGGTTCCCGGCTCGGCGGCCAGCGGGGCGGCTGCGGGCGGGCAGGGCGCGGGGGCGGCCGCATCCATCGGGCTGGCTCAGGCAGCAACAGATGAACCGGGGCGAGCGGCGGCGGGCAGCATCCTCGGCCGGGCACCGGCGCGCTCCGGGGCACCTGGGCGGGGGAGAAGCGGGACGGAGCTGGGGGGGAGCCCTCGGCGCGGCGGGCGCAGCCTCCCGCGGGCGGCCCGGCGCTAGGTCCGGCGTTGCGGCGGAGCCATGCTGGCGGGCGGCACGCACCTGACAGCGCCGGCGAGGGCGGCGGCGGGCGGGCTCCCGCCCCTACGCCCCCCCGCTCCGCTTCAGCGGCCGCGCACCTGCCCGCCGCCGCCGCCGCCGCCGCGCTGCCGCCACGGCGCGGGCGGGCCACATGCTGGAGCGGCTGCTCGCTGGTTCGTGCGTTCCTTCGCTCGCTCGCTCCCTCCTTCCCTCCCTCCGCCGTGCCCGTTCCCGAATGCGGGCGCCGCCGTGACACAGGGGGAGGGCCCGGAGGGGCGGGAGGAGGGCGGGGGAGGGGAGTGCCCCCGCGCCGCGCGGGGCAGCGGCGGGGCGGGACGGGATGGAGCGGAGCGGAGCCCCCCGGCCCCAACCCCGGCCCCGCGCCCCCCCCGCCTGGCCCGGGCCGCGACCCCCGCCCGGCCCCGCCGCGGCCCCACGTGCGCCCCGGGCGCCCCCCATTGTAGCCCCGGGGCCGCCACCGCCGCCCCATTGGCCGGAGGCGCCCGGCGGCCACGCCCCCCCCGCGCGCTGATTGGCCCGGCGCCGGCGGGACGCTCCGGGCGCGAGGGGGGGTGAATGGGGAGGGGGGAGAGGCCCCGCCCACCTAGGGTGACGTCACGGACTCCGGCTGCATCCGCGCGTCACCCCGGGCAACGCGGGGCACGCCCCCTTCACTACGGGCCACGCCCCCGATAGCCTCGGCCACGCCCCCGCCGAGGGACATCCCGCGAGCGGCCCCGCCCACCGCGGGCAGACACGCCCCCTCGAATGAGGCCACGCCCCCTGGAAAGAGGCCACGCCCCCCACCCACCTTGCGGCGGTCCCGATCCCAAACCCGACCCGGCCCCGACCCCGGCCCTGCCCGCAGCCCGCCGGGCCCAGCAGCCCGGTGGCTCCCCGGTGGTGTCACCGCAGGGGACGCGGTGATGTTTAGTCAGACACACGAAGCCCACCCGGGGCCTGGCAGGGCAGGAGGGCAGGGGCGCTGCCCCAACCCGCGCACCCCCGGCACCCACGAGGGTGCACACAGCTCATCCTGCACCCACACGCATCTCTCACCCAGCACCCGCGGGGGACACACGCCTGAGCCCTGCCCGTGCCCATCCCGCTGCCTGCACCCCAACACACCCCTCCTCACACCCACCTTTTCCCCCTCCCCACCACCCCAGGAGCGGGCAGCCACTCTGCCCGTCCCCACCTGCCGTGCCTGGCTGGCCCTGGGAACACTGTCACTGAGCTCCCTGAATCCCCCCGGGCTTTGTCACCTAAGTGCCACCAGCTGTGCCTGTAACTGTCTTTCCTGCCACAGTCACAGTCGCGTGCGGTTCTGCTCCTGCAGCCCCGTTCCTGGTCCGAGGGGACGGGCTGAGGTTACCCAAGCAACTGAGGAGCTGATGGTTCCAGCCTGAGAGTGCTCGGCCTGACAGCTCTAATAATATAATAAAGTATAATATAATCTAATAGATATAATATAATAAATATAATACAATACACAGGCGGGACTTGACAAGTGCTCTGTTTCACAACCCACAGCGACAGTGGTGGCTGCAGAGGCTCCAGCTGTCCCTGGGGGCACAGCACAGCACGAGGGCTTGGGGGGTGTGTTCCCTCCTTCCCTGCCAGGCAGCTGGGGACCTGCTGGCCAAGCCCCTCATCTCCTTGGTTCCACAAGCCCCGGAAGGCTGAGCCAGGCTGGCATCAGACATGCCCTGGCCATCCTGGCTATGGGGGTACCAGAGCACTCTCAGGACAGACCTGACCCCAAACACCCCCTGACCCCACAGACCCCAGGGCAGTGCTACCGTGCTCATCTCCCTGTGCCTCCCTCCTCCCCAGAGAATTTCTCCAGCGACTATCTCAAGTTTCCCTTGCTGTGGTTTATGTCCTTCCCCTTCCCGAGGATCCACAGGCAGAACCGTTCCCTCTCCACAGCCTTTTGCCCATTTGGAGCCAGGGGTGTTTCTTCCCTCAGTCTTGCCTTAGTCAAAACACTCCCACATTTCTCACCTGCTCTTCCAGCCTTGTTTTCCCAGCCCAGTTCCCCAGTGCGGAGCCGAGTGGAGGGTCGAGCCTGCACAGCCCTTCCCGTGCCTGTCCCTGCCTGGTGCCGCTCCCTTTCTCTTGCAGCACTTCTCCTCCTGCCCTGCAGCAGGTGCCTCTCCCTGAGCCAACTCATCCCTTGGGGACAGCGCTCAGAGCTCCCTGCCCGTGCTGCCAGGTGCCTAATTCTGCAGGACCACACTGGGCTCACTCCCCTGCTGCCTCAGTTTCCCCACCTGCACAGCAGAACTGCCCCAGGCACACAAGGATGGCCCTCAGGGGTGAGGTGACAGGCCTGTTTTGGACAACTTTGTGGCTCCTCGCACCTAAAAGCAACCAAAGCTCCTCCCATCCCATGGTACTCCTATCCCATGGTGCTCCCACTCCATGGTGCTCCCATCCCTGGCATCCCTTGCACCCCCTTCACCTGCTGCTCCAGAGCCTGGGATGAGCATGGGCACAGCAGGTCCAGGGGGAAAGAACAGAGCAGAGCCATCAGGGCAGCAGCAGCAACAGGGAAGGGGGTGATGGGTGGGTGGTGCTGCAGGGTCTTGGGATCCTTGGGAAGCAGTCACAGCCCCAAACCTGCCACAGCTCAAGGAGCAACCTCAGGCACATGGTGGGATTGTTGGGGTGTCCTGTGCAGGGCCAGGAGTTGGACTCAATTGATCCCTCTGAGTCCCTTCCAGCTCAGGATATTCTGGGATTCTATGATCAAGGGATCCACGCCAGTGCAGCCCTTGCTCGATGCAACTCCCCAGTCTGTCCTTTCCCTGGTGGCTTCCAGCAGCACCTGGACAAAGGTGTTCCATGGAGTGTCCTGCTTCCCCCTCTGCCCATCCTGCCAGGAAAGGGGGCTCCTCTGCCTCCCAGCTCTGGGGCATGAGCCAGTTTGCTCTTGATGATGATGAAGCCATTCAGCAGCTTGGTTTGTGGTGTGAAACTCACACTTCAGGAGCGGGAGGAGAGAGGTGACACGGATGTGCCCAGCCTTGGTAAGGTGCCCACCACCTCCAAGGTGGGAAGAGTGAGGCTGAAAGGGCAAACAGGAGCTCAGTGGGGATGGAGTGGGCAGGACCAACTCTGACACATCCTGCCATGCACATGTGAGCTGCTCCTCGCACGCAAGGGTGGCAGTGAGCGGGGCTGTACCTGCCCTGTCTCAGCTCTGCCCCCAGAAAGCACTGGAGCTGTGCCCACCAGCAGTGGGTGGATGGGCTGGTGGATGCTCCAGTGTCTGGGGGTGGTGGATGTTACAGTGTTTGGCTGCTGCGAGTCACCTGCAAAACTGCTCTGCATGGTCTCAGGATGGCGTGAACAGGGGGACCTCCAGTGGGTACCTCAGCACTGCCCCCCAGGGCAAACCCTCGCTGGGCAGGGGGAGCTGGGAGGGCAGGGTGTGGGCAGAGCTGGGAGATCACAGCCCCCCACATGAAGGGAGAGGGGCCGGTTGCGGGATGAGGAGGAGGAGCAAGAGGAGGAGGAGAAGGTGGGGGAGGAGGAGGTGGAGAGCTGCTGCTCCAGGCATCTCCTCATGGACCAGATCCCAGGAGGGCGGTGCAGCCTGAGCTCCTGCTCCCCCATCTCCCTGGCAGTCCTGGGCAGAGCCAAGGCTTGCTGTTCTGGTGCTGGTGTCACCTCCCATCTCACCCCACCGGGCCAGCAGGACCTTCATCTTTCTTCCATCTGAATGGTTCCCACAACATCCCATGTTCAACACCCCACAACAACCCCTCTACCCTTTCCACCCCTACCCAGATTGACACCTGAGAGCTGTTTTGGAGCCCCCATCCCCTTCACCATTCCAGCAGCTCCAGGGTCCAGGGCAGAACCCCACGGGTGGTGATGGAGCTGCAGGAACCGAGGAGGAACCACGCTGGTCAGGGCTGTGCTGGAAGGTAGGTGGGATATCTGCCCATGCCAAAAACCACCAGCAGGCTCTAAGGACTGTGTTTGGGACCAGTTTGTCCAACTGCCAAGGAAAAATTCAGCTTCCAGCATCACAGCTCAGCATTCCCAGCTGCAAGGGCACCAGGGGATAGAGGGAGAGTGGCATCAGGGGAGAGGGGAGCACCCCGGTGTGCCCATCACATCCATCAGCCTCACCTCAGGCCCCTGATCCCAATGGGAATCACCAGTTGTTGGGTGTCTGCAGAGAGCTGGATGGGGGGAAGCACCGAGACAACCCCAGCAGCGTGTGAGGCGCCTGCTCTGCTTTGGGAGGCAAAGCCACACGTGCAGCACATCCTGTGAAATGACAATTCTCCCAAATGCTAATTCGGGCCCTGGAAATGACACGTGTGACGATCCCTCGTCGCCTCCTCCCCGGGAAGTCGCGGCGCGAGAGGAGCTCAAGCGGCGCCGATTAAAAAGTACTTTCACGGAACATAAAGTGGAAGTTAAGTGAGGGAAATGTAAAGTCAGAATGAAATATTTTTACTTTCCTGCAATGAACTTGGGTGTTTTGACATGCTCAGAATAAACATTTTGACACTGCTGAAAGGAGAAAGTCAAAGTGATTCCGGGAGGCTTCTTCCCGGGGAAAATGGCAGCGAGATCGACAGGTTCCCAGGGAAAGATTTGATTCCAACAAACCCCTGTTTTCTGATGGAAAACCATTCCAGACAGTGTTTTCCGTCAGCCCTGCACAGAGAACAGGTTTCCAGGTGAGACCAGCACCTGACTAGCTTCCCAGAACTGTAGCAGGGAGGGAAATCTGCCTTCATCCTGCTGGGAAAGGGAGACATAGGGCAGGACGGACACAGCCTGTGCACCTCGGGTCTAGATCCTCCCCCAGCTCATAAGGGCTGATGCCGAACCCCCAGTCTGTGTAAGAGGCACAGGCAGTCCAACAGCAGCAGGGTTTGTCCCCTCCTTCATGTCCATGCTCATGGTCACATTGTGTCAAACCAAGTGTGTCACAGCGGGCTAAATTTTCACGCTTTTATTTGGGGAAATTCCAAGAATTATTTTTATTAGTTGAAAACCCAAATCATTGCATTCTGAAGAGTTGGAGTTTTGCTGAAAAACAGATACTTTAGCAATAGTCTGCTGTACCTGATGGCTCCATTTTTCATGTGATACCAGTTGGGTGGAAAATTTCTGACCAACCTTTGGTGCAAAATTTCCAACCAATCTTTGGTGCACACTCCAGGTATTGAATTTTGCTTCAGAACAACATTTAGGGAAAATCTGTTCTTTAATAATAGTAATGCCTAATAATAGTTTTCAATGCTAATTCTTGGCAGCAATTCCCTGTGATTAAATATACCTTTGCTTGGTAGAAAATGATGTATGTCATGCAACAGATTTGTGCACCCTCTAATCTCCCCTTCAGGCACAGCCACCATAGCCAAGCACGAGGGCAGGGAAATCTGCAGCCCAGCACACAATTCCCTGTGTCCAGCGGGCTGCAGCAGCTCCTCTGGGCTCAACATCACCCTGATGGCTCACAGACACTTATCACAGCCCCACACAGAGCCCCTCACCAGCTAGATGAGGACCCCTTGAGCAAGAGACCTTAGCAGATGTTGTTGATTCCTCGCACTGGTGTCCCACAGGTGAGGGCATGAAACCCTTGCCAGAGACACAGGTCATCAGCGGGGCTGTGCCAGTCCCCTTGGGAAGCATTTCCTGGCAGCTGAGCTCCTTCAGGACCCCTCTCCACTTTCCAGGTCTGTATAG